ATGTGGTAATGTAGCATTTTATCCCAAATAGAACCTAAACGTATTGATGATGCTTTAAAAGATGAGTTTTGGATTTTAGCTATGCCAAATAGAACCTAAACGTATTGATGATGCTTTAAAAGATGAGTTTTGGATTTTAGCTATGCATGAAGAGTTGAATAACTTTCAAAGAAATAATGTTTGGAAATTAGTTCCTCGACCAAATAATATTTCTATTATTGGAACTAAATGAGTTTTTAGAAATAAGCTTGATGAGTTTGGTATAGTAACTAGAAATAAAGCTCGTTTAGTTGTCCAAGGATACAATCAAGAGGAGGGCATAGACTATGATAAAACTTTTACACAGGTTGCAAGATTGGAATCTATTAGAATGTTTTTGGCCTTTGCAAGTTTTAAAAATTTTAAATTATTTCAAATGGATGTCAAAAGTGCTTTCCTAAATGGTTTTTATTGAAGAAGAGGTTTATGTTGAGCAACCCCTAGGCTTTATTGATTCATCTTTTCCAAATCATGTATACTGGGTTCAAAAAACTTTATATGGGTTAAAACAAGCTCCTAGAGCTTGGTATGCTCGCCTCTTAAGTTTTCTCATTGAAAATGGTTTTTTAAAAGGAACAATTGATAATACTCTTTTTGTTAGAAAATGAAAAAATGATTTTATTTTAGTTCAAATTTATGTAGATGATATTATTTTTGGTGCCACTAATGAATCTTTATGCAAGGACTTTTCTAAAGTAATGCAAGATTAATTTGAGATGAGTATGATGGGAGAGCTCACTTTCTTCCTTGGCCTCCAAGTTAAGCAATCCAATGATGGCATCTTCGTATCACAAAGCAAATATACTAGGGAGTTGGTGAAAAAATTCGGGATGGAAAGCTCAAAACATGCCCCAACTCCAATGAGCACCACCATCAAGTTGGATGCGGATGAAAGCAGTGAAAAGGTAGACCAAAAGCTATATCGAGGTATGATAAGTAGTCTTCTTTATCTCATCGCTAGTAGGCCGAACATCATGTTTAGTGTTTGTGCATGTGCATGTTTTCAAGCCTCTCCTAAAAACTCTCATTTAGTTGCGGTTAAAAGGATTATTAAATACATTAATGGTACCTTAGAACTTGATTTGTTTTATCCTAAAAATATATCTTTTGATCTTTGTAGTTATGTGATGCCGACTTTGCCGGTTGTAGGGTGGACCGCAAAAGTACGAGTGGTACTTGTCAATTTTTTGGGTAACTCACTTGTATCTTGGGCATCCAAGAAACAAAATTGTGTTGCTTTGTCCACTATGAAAGTGGAATACATTACCACCGGCTTATGTTGTGCACAACTTTTATGGATGAAACAAAATTTGGTTGATTTTGATTTACACTTTCATGATACAAAGATTTTTTGTGATAATACAAGTGCTATAAATATTTTCAAAAATTCGGTTTTGTATTCTAGAACCAAACATATAGATATACAGTATCACTTCTTGCGTGGTCATGTTGAACAGAAAGATGTTTCTCTTGTTTATATTGATATCAAATCTCAATTAGCGGACATCTTTACCAAACCCCTTTATGAAGTTGATTTTTGCCGCATTAGGAATGAATTGGGCATGTGCATTCTTTGAAAATAATTTCTTTTTGCCATTTTGCTTTCTTGGTTTCCTTGCTCTTATATTGTCATATCCATATTTTCTTTCTTGTTCCTTGAATGTCATATCATGCTCAAGCTCACATATGTACCAAGAGGAGTGTAAAGGTGAGAGACCGGGGTCGTCCCAAGAGGAGTGGGGTAGGTAGTAATGCCTAGTGGTAGGTTATAATTCCTAACACTTGAGGGAGACACGGGTAGGCCAACACTTGAGGTGCATTGTGTGATTTCTTTAGTATGTGTCTTTATGCTTTCATTACCCCATTTTTTATGGTGACAAAGGGGGAGAGAAATCTCCTCATTTGTGCATATAGAAAGGAGGAGCCTTATAGATAGATGGAGCAACTATCTATAAGCCAAATAATCTATTTTATTTGCTCTCGTATAATGGTTGTTTGTCATCATCAAAAAGGGGGAGATTGTTAGGTCCTTTATTTTGATGATGATTTACAAACAACATTATTGGTGCTAATTGTGTATTGAGCTATATTGTAGATTACATTTCATTAGCACCATAGATGGAGGATTAGATGGAATACGAGCTACAATGACGATATCTAGAGGAGGTGGAGGCAAAGCGATGAAGCAATGTTTATCAAGAACACCATATGCAATAAGAAGCTTCATCAACTCAAAAGCAATATCAAGACTCAAGAAATGTATTTATATGTGAGAGATATTTGCTACTTTTATTTTTTTTCTCTAGTGCTAGAATGTAGGCAAGAAGTTTATTGATTACATTTGAAGCTCATGGGATAACACACTTGCACATTTTCAAAACTCGTATTTTGACAATTTTGCTAAATTGATAATTTTCACAAATACGATGACCTTTTTGCAAAATTCTTTTTCAAACAAGTTTGTCAAAATGTTTATAAATTGTTTACAAAGTTTCATATTTTTTGGAATTTATTTACTATTTTTTATAGAGCACTGAAATTCAATTTCGAAATCGATTCAGGCTGATAACATGTTATCAGTCGACTGACCAGTCGACTGATGAAGTCAGTCGACCGATGTGTCAACTGATGAAAGTGCCTGGAATCATCTTTTTGCTCTCTGTTCTGTTTCGGTCAACTGACCAGTCGACTGACTAGATCGTCAGTCGACTGAAATGATCATAAGTCGACTGATGACCTGAATATCGTATACAACGTTCAGCTCATCAGTCGACTGATGCTTTACGTCAGTCGACAGATGGGCGCTATAACGGCTATATTTGTTCTGTTTTAGAAATTCGATTTTCTCAGGATTCTGTCTTGTTCTTTGGGGTTTTGGCTGCAGTTTTCTCTCATTATAAATACCTATCAACCTCATCTACCTCAGTACCAAGCTTTCATTGCAAATTACTTGAGTTTAAGTTTATTGTTTTCAAAGGAGCTTCAACTTTCGTTTGCTTTCACTATTTCTAAGTTCACATCCCAAGCTTCAATTGCAATCTCTCCTCTTGCTATAGGGCTTCTGTAAAGAGAGAGTGTTTCTTCGAATTTGTGACTGTTGTGAGCTTGATCTCGTGGAGATCTACTGTGTGGTTGTGAGATCTCGGAGGAGATCGTTGTGTAGAAGAAGTTCCGGGTTCCAAACCGGGTGTGTAGTGGATTTCTCCTCAAGAGTGGGGAGCGGGGACGTAGGTCAGCGAACCGAACCTCGTGAACACATCGCACGTCATCAATTGGCTAACTATCTCTATCTCTACTCTCTTTTTATTCATGATTGAGCTATATTGCGGATGATCCGTTCTGTTAAACTTGATCTACATATTCTAAAACCCTAACACACCAAGTTTAGGGTGAACCCGTCATCGTTTGACCCTTTTATCCACTCGTATCAATTTTAACGGTTTTGAATAAATAAAACTTTTCACATGGCTCGACGAAGGGTCAAACGACGATGGGTTCACCCCAAACTTGATGTGTTGGGGTTTTAGAATATATAGATCAAGTTCAACGGAGCGGATCATGCACAATGTAGCTCAATTATGTGATTTTAAGCAGCGGTCCTCAGATGATTATCTAAGGCGCACCTTAGGAACACTTTTATATATATAATATGAATATAAGTATTATATATATATATTATATATAATATATATATATAACTATATATATAATATAGTATAAATATAATAAATTAGGGATAATATAGAATGTGAAATTAAAAGGTTAAGGATAATATTGCCTAAGCAAAAGTTTCCATCTCAAACTCATACATTTTATAAGATGAAGTATATATTATAAATATATATATATAATATATACTATAATATATATATATATATACTATATGAGTATGATATGATATGATTATATATGAAATAATGTGATAAATCCTCTAAATCTTATCTTACTTGCACATCTATCCTTCAACTCTGGCAATTTGCTAATTGCTCACGTTCTTTGCCATCAAAATACTCATCTAAGTAACTAAAAAACACCCATCAGATTTAGTGTCATTAAATTTCAAACATATAAAAAAATTAAAAGGAAATTAAACACTCAAATTTTACTTATTTCCATTTTACCGATTTTCATTTTTCTAACTCTCATTAGGAATTTTAGCGATGTCAAATCAAAGAAGCATATAGGAGTCAAATATGCAGAATATAGGAATAAGTTAGCCAATGTTCAGATGTAAAAGCTAGTCTTCAATAAGATGAACTTGAGAGGTACATACAAAAAAAAATCTCATTCATCTTAACACTGCATTTCATCAAGGAAATTTAAGTGAAGATGGTGTAACAGTCATAAAGGAAGTTAAGAAAAAAAAAATACAGATCTTGTTTGGAAATTTAACAACAAGAATTGAAGTAAACTTGGTTCTCCTCATTTGGGGATTTTAATAAAGGAGAAGAGGAGCTGCAAAATCAATCTGAACCATTGGATTTGATCTTGAGAGGATAAATTTGTCCCAAGGAGACAATCTTATTGTGATCACTTTTTTTCTCCTCAACCACTCCCATTTTGAGGGGAGCAGTATCCCGCAAAAATTTCACCCCAAATTAACCTAACTAACCCCCATCACTTCTCTCAAATGACTTTCACTCACCTATCATTACTCCCAAATCCAAAGAGGGTCTAAATGGTAAATTTGCAAACTAAAAAAATTGCAGTTTCAACCCCTATCAACTCGCGCGGGTGTGAAGAGAAAAAGAGGGGAAAAAGAAACGACTGGCTGTCGGAGCGAGAGCGAATGGCTCGCTTTTATTCCTCTCCCTTCATTTCTCTGGAGAGAGAAACTAGAGAGAGAGGGAGAAAAAAAACAAACAAAGAGAAAACCTCCATCTCTCTCTCTCTCTCCTCTCTCCCTCTCTCTCATCGGTGATCGCCTCTAATTGATGAATGGAGTACGGCTCCAGGGCATCGGCGCCCAACCGCCATTGACCAAGGTTAGGGTTTCACTCTAAAGATCGCTTATTTACCAATTTTCGTCTTAGCTTTACCCAATTTATCACAATTCGGTCGGAATTCGGTTGTCTTTCTCAAAAAGGAAGGATCTTGGGCGAAATTACAGAACTCCCTGCTATCTGTTGGTATTTGTTCCAATTGTACGTAGACCCATGCACTATTGCGGTATGCCCCCCTTAAGTTTGATATTGGCATATAGGCCCCCTAGGACTGAACATCATTAGATACTTGTGGCACAACGCTATAGGACAAGGGGGTCATGTGTAATGAGAATTTAATTTATCTATCTAACTCAAGTATTTGGTTGTACTGCAGAGACGCTTTGGCAAATGAGCTTGAGGGGCACTGGAAGTGTGGAGGGTGGGCAGTATCCGGAGCGCCCGGGGGAGCCGGACTGTGCATATTATATGAGGACCGGCATGTGTAGATTTGGGATGACGTGTCGGTTTAATCATCCTCCCGATAGAAATTTGGTAACTTGGTTTCTTGCCTGCGTGGTAGTTGTATTGGTTTCGTGTGTATGTATGAGCACTTGGTTGTTCAGTGTAGTTGGATTTTGATTACATTTGCAGTTGCACACATTCTGTACTTGCAACCAACTAACTTATGAGTCTCAACCCTCATCTCAACTATGGAGTTTGGTTGTAGTGGAAGGGTCTTTGATATGATGTCAAAGCAATCTGGGTTCAAATCCCAAGCTGATCAAAGAAGTTTGCAAATAGTGCACTGTTCGACCCATGAAAAGAGTGCTCATATTAGATTACAAAATTACTATCCTCAACCATTGCCACAACTTTGGAGTTTTTTTGTAGTGAAAGAGCCATTGAATAGATAGCTTCATATGCCGCATCAGAGCCTTCAATATATCCAAAGCGGATAGATGAGACTTACACTCTTCCAAGTAGATGATAGTGAGTTTGATTCACACACAGACACGATGAAGTTCGTCATGAGGCTGTTAAAATTGTACGCATCTTTTGTAGTCCCTGTGGTCATGACTAAACCTGGTTACTTGTCAGGTCATTGCTGCTGAGAGGATGAAGGGAGGGTATCCTGAAAGAGTAGGGCAACCTGAGTGTCAGGTATCTATGTGCTGTATCTTTTTTTTTATTAATACAGTTGAATCATTTTTTTCCCACCATGTTGCATTGTTAAGGATAAAGCCTCATCAAAAGCATAAGAATGCCGCTGGCCTGTCCAGTGGCTACATCTCCTATTACAAATGGTAGACTAAGTATGGTTATGGTACTGGGATCTTCTACTAGACGGAAGCATGTTTTATAATCGGGTTTTAGGTGTACATTGATGGAAAAAAAACTCTTGGTTACTAATATTTAGGTTTTTGCTACTTTCTGTTCTTTTAATTTCAGAACCTTATTTATGATACTTTAAATGGAATGTGTCATGTGCAGCGACTAGTCCCCAAACATTATCCTCTCTGGAGTGAATTAGAGATTTCAGACTTTCAGCAGATGGTTAATAGTTATTATGCTTCTTTGTTTTTTATTTTACTTAGGATTAAACAATCTATACAACAAATATCTTTAAATCAATTTCATTCTTTGATTCCTTTTTTAATCCAACAATCTTAATTTTGACATGTATTATGGGCAAAATTGCAAATACACGCATACATATAGAGACACAACCGCTGTTCATCTAACTACTTTATTTTTTGGGTGTTTTCACCAAACCCCCAATAAGTTAGGGCGTTTGGCATTTAGCGCTTAAAATTTTAAAATTCTCACTAAACC